AAAAAAAAAAAAATCATCTGTACTCATCAAGACCAAACAAAATTATAAGAAAAATAAAACATCCTGACTCACAAAACTGATAATAGTAACACAAGTCTTTTCATTCACCGGAGGTGAATTGAAATAGCATGTTCATCTTTTTAAGTAGTTCAAAGTATTGACACCACTTAATATCTTCAAACTCTAAACAGTACAAGAAGATCCATCATCATTAAGAAAACCAGTTATTTTTCAATTGAGACAACACATGCATCCTAATATACAAACTTCAACTGACCAATACAAAACATAATAAGTTGATTGCTTGAAAACAGGCCTCTCCAAGTTACACAACCTTATGAATCTTTATCAGAAGTTAAATTTACCATTAGAAAACTTGCTTTAACACTGAAGAATGCATTGTGACAGATTAGTTCTTCAGGTTTATAAATTTATAAACTCCACCACTCACATTGGAGGATCTTACAGCATGTAAGAGACTCAAATGAAAAAGTTAATCATTAGAAACTACAACAAATATAGCTAAAAGGGACCTCCATTATCCATTATACCATCGGTTTCCAACAAAAGAGGAAAACTACAGAGATGTTATCTGATGGCCTAGCCATTCACAACTACAGGACAATCTTAATCAATAGAACAATGATAAATTACATTGTCGGGGCAACTTGACGCAAGCATGCACCTTGGGAAAAAAAAAATAGAGTCGTCGCATAAAAGTTGTATCATCTTATCAGACAATGAAAAAAATCCATATATAAATAAGTTCAGTAGTGAGGTAAACTTCCTAACAATTTGAAGGTTGTTCAGTACATCTCAAATGCAACATTTGTCTTCTCTATCAGGACTGCAACAAACGAATGCAGGAGAACGATTAATGCTGGAATTCTACAAGACAGCTCTCCATTATGAATTCAAGGAAAGGATGTTAATGTTGACGTATGACACAACAAGACCCATTTAGAGTAATAGCGATTTGAACCAAACTCATTCTTTCTCTTAGGCAGTATGAGATGTATCCCTACCCTCTCATCCTTCTAGCTCTCTTACACAAGCTGGCTTGGGTGCATTTAAGTGAGATTACGATTGTCTCAGGTAAAATCAACTACCAATCTCTCAACCATTGGACTGAATCGTGGAAAGGGAAAAGCCGCCAACAAGCCAAATCACAGGAATTCATTCTAGAGTTGATGGCAATTTGTTTACGTATAGATCTCCTGAGACATTTAGTAGATGACCATAAGCCAACTGCACTCTCTTCCATAGGCAAAACCACTTTGGATGGAAATCCAACCAGCATATTACCAAATGCAACTTAGTACTCCATTCCTCTGTTATTCTGTGAAAATGGTCAGATAATATCTGTGAGCTGTTAAGAAGCCCTTACAACATTAATGTTGTACGGCATCATGCACCATCGAGGAAAGACCGTATGCCAGTAGCACCAAGAGGCCCCAAAACCCAAAACATGGCTGGTTTCATTCATCAATCGTTAGTGGCAATCTCCTCAATTCAGAATGATGTGACAGTAAACATGACTAGTCAGCGCAGTATAATGGATGGCTACAAGTAAACTCCAGAAGTCAGGAATAATAATTTGCATCATTTACTTCTCTATATTTGTGTGTTTCTTGCTCAACTCAAAGGATCACGCATAACACACTGCAACTGCAGCATGTCAATCTAATAATTGTTGAAGGGAACACCAAAAACCATAATGATTTGTGAAATCTGTTCGTCATTGATCCACAGATCAAAAAGATCCTGCAATATGATTTGCGATTCAGATTTTTCATACTATAGAGGCTAACTAAATGGTTCCGTATATTGTGTAGGCAAGTAATGCTTATTCTAAAACTTCTAGAATGTCAGTTGTCACTACATCACAAGATGCATGAGATGAGGACCTTAAAATCTTATTATCTAAGATATGCTTTTAAATTAATGATGAATAAAGTCTCTGACTGACAGTTTTAGGACTCTCAAGTCGTGCAAAACAGAAAAAAAAAATGATAAATAAATAAAAATAAATGAGATTGTACGAGTTTGTGCGTGCGAGCATGCATGCACGAGTGAGTGAGTCTGTGTGTGTGTGTGTGAGAGAGAGAGAGAGACAGAGAGAGAGATAGAGAAGTGAGAGATAAACATTAAGACACCTCACCTGCAGATTACTCCCTCAGTCCATATCTTGGCTAACTCAGGTTCATTTTTAGGCAAAGAAAATGAACAAAATGATATACAGTCATTGTCCCCAAATCCTAGCTCAAGTAACTGTGAAAGGCCCTAAGTGTGAACTATTAGGCTGGATATACAGATTCCTACAAATCAAACGTCAAATCTTCCATGAATAATGCTGCAAGAAACCCCTGCCTGAACGTTATAACATATCTAAACGTATTTGTTCTCAGTTTTATCCACAAGAACGGTACCTTAAAATTATGAAACCTAAGCAGAATAAAGTAAAGATAGAATAATAATATATTGGTTTGAACATTATTGTTAATCGTCACAAAATAATAATATTAGATTGATGAGAACAACCAAAAAGATTTAAAACATCTATAACCATAATATGGTAATAATTATTGCCTTATTGGCCACAGTAATAATAACAACAGCTGTTGCTGTTTCAGTCATGACATGTCAAAATATAATAAGGAATCTTCCTATTTTACTTACGATTTAAAAAGTTTCCTTTTGGCATTATTGCAACTACTATTGCAGCATCGTTAAACAAGAAGATTAACCACTGACATTATTCCTACAAAGAACTTAAGACAGAATGTGCGACATATAAACTTCAACACATTTACATGAAGGCAGTAATAGACATCGGATATAATTGAACACCCTAAACTTAGAGGATTCGACGGATAAGAAAATTTGGCTTCAGCTAACAACATCAAATATAAAGCTAAGACCTGCCACCTTCTAGTTGCATGGCTATTCAATTGGATATTAGTCCTGCAGAAATTTATCTTGGCACTGGATAGTATAAATTTGAGAAGAACCAAAACAATCTACTATTATCATCTGCAGATGATTCCATTTAAATGGTTTTAAAAGAAATTTCATCATTCCCAATAAGGAGCACTCAAGATACCCTTCAATTGGAAAAACCAAAAAAAATAAAATAAAAGACTAAAAGTTACCGATTTCAGCTGAGTACCACTTCATATGTAATCCATAGGTCATCCAATAAGTCAACAATCCGACAATTTTCAGCAAAGAATTACACCAAGATCAAACTTACAGTTTTTCTAGAGTTTCAAAGCCTTTCCAGTAACGAATTGCTGAATGACGCTGTTTTTGGATTATGCTTTCCCTAAAAGCCTGAAAAGCATCAGATTCAGTAAATTAGTGGAAATTAACTTAACATTGGACACCTCTGGGATTATCTTATATATAAGATCTTGAGACCGTTGAATGCCAATGCATAAAAATAGAATTAAACATTCATCACCGGACGGTGAGTAATTCAGCTTAGAGATAGAACAAATCATATTTTCAGACTTGCTTCCCAAGATCTACTAAAGCTGATTCAATCGGGTCCCTAATAAAAACTATAAATATTATTCACAACCTTTCACAAACACTATCAAGGTACCTTTTACCACATAATGCCATCCAAACCGATAACTTTTGTTAGTCATACTTTGAATTTAAATATCAATTTTAATCATAACCTTTCACAGCTATTGTTAAGGTAAGTTTTTATCACAGTCATGATCGAAACCAATAAGTTGAGTTAGTCATACTATGATTTCACTTTTACTTCTCAAATCTGATTAAACGTGTATTTTGACGAAGTAATCAGTTGAAAAACAAAAGGATGCTTTGCCCATGGTCGGCAAAAGAGTACCTTGATCGCGCACCAGTGTGTTGAGCAAGCAAGGTAAGTATACGGTGCCTTGACAAAGCAAAACGTTATTAAATTAACCATAAATAAGATTTTACGCTCCTTTATACTTTCTCTACGTGAATATTCCGTGTAAAAGGAAATAATAGTATGGCATTTATAATTGATTGCCAAAAGTGGCTATAATGAAAACATGGGAAGCTTGTCACCTGCAAGGGAACATGAACATGTAAGACCCTGGTTTC